AACAAAAAAGATATCGATTAAAAAAAAAAGTTCTGAGGGACCCATAAATCTCCACGTTTCACACGATTCTCAATCGTTTGAATATATATTTGCGAGACAATTTTTCCCCAATTTGTTGAACAATTTTTCGAATTTACAGAAGTGAATTCATTTTTCACATTCCGTCCATCGATTGTTTCTCCATCATACCCCCACTCCGCTCGATATGGGATGTTTTCTTTCGTCACGATTTCCTGGAATTATCGACACTCGCGCGTTTGCTGGTCTTTCCGAATTATCGACACGCTCGGGCTCGCGCTCTGCTTTATCTATACCCACGCCCTCCAAAAATTACCGACACTCTTGCCCTCGCGACCTGTTTGATTCACAGGTACACCCGCAAAATTAGTTCGGCTCGGGCGGCCAGACAATTTCGCGGTTGAAGCTTCGCCATTGGCGTTAGCAATTTCCCCTATAATCTCTGATATAAGTATGAAGTCAATTCCTCCTGCCTTAAGCCTACTACGCATGCGCAAGTGTCCTTACTTAGTGTACGCAAAAAAAGTACGTTTTTATTTTTTATTAATAAAACCATTTACTCCTTAATTATGAAACCTTGATTATAATGACCACCAAACTATTCTCCATCGGTTGTAATTATTTTTGAATTGTTTCATCATAACTTCTGCTCATTATTATTGTAAAAATGGAAAAATCTATTAAACAACAACTAATTACGCCCAAATTATAATTATGTTCTCCTAAATTCCACCAAATTACCACCTGAATATTTATGAAGAAAAAAGTTTGAAAAGTTAATAAAAAAATTATATTTCTTCCAAATGCACAGTGCCCTCCCTGTATCATACCTTAGAAGATGCGCACGAAAAGCCCACGCGTGGGATTTTAGCGCTCGTCTGGCATCACTGCTGAGTAGCTAGTCGACTGACGGACATACAGTCGGTCACTTAAGTTCGTGAACAAACTGAAGTTGCAACCTGTGTATTTTATACGGGTTGCAGCTTCAGTTTGTTCACAAACTTGAGTGACCGACTGTACACCCCAGCATTGCGTGTGGCGCCCTCCCTCCTGTAAGGCGAGGTACTTCGATGCCTGTGGGGTCAGTCAAACCCCCTGAACTGAGCCTCTACTTATGCCAATCCTCTTTAATAGTTTCTGGTATGACTTGATGACGTTCGGATTAGTTCAGGCGCCACCGCTCTCCAATATAACTGGTGAAACGTCTTTGTGCTGAACCTCCTCGATTTGCTTTGGCCTGGAAAACCCTGTTACAATCCCTGGAATATTCGGTAATTTTCGTTATATATATGACTGCTTAGCCCGGTGTCGCATTATTTGGTACGTCGAGTCATCAATATCGAGCTGTGTACATTCCAAATAACTTAAAGTTAATAACTCATTTCCATTAAATCGAAATCCCGTTTTTAACCGAACAAATATCACCATTCTACTTGAAAGTGTGGTCTCTGAGGCAAATAACAATTCCAGTGTATTCCGAGGAAGCAAAATGGCCGCGGCCGACTCATCAGCGGACGACAGTCTTTATCCAATTGCAGTTTTAATCGATGAATTGAAGAATGAAGACGTTCAGGTGAGTTTCATACTGTGAAAGAACTATGAATGATGTTTTAGAATATAGAAAAAGCATGTGGAGGGCCGAGTTGTGGATTATAATTATGATCGTATAAGTTTCACGTAACCTGTACGTGTGAAGTATCCAACGAAGCGTCGAACGCATTATTAAGACTGCACTCATAATGTGAATGATTCATATGTTAATTTGAGACTTATTGCTACTGTATGATTTTAGTAGATAATTGATCTTTACCGCTGAGCTGGCAAATCGATATGGATTTATGATTTCTATATTGGTTGGTCCCCAATAAATAGCAGAGTCCGGAGAGCATAATAGAATTTCGTCAAATGACCGACCATTTCTTTCCGGAATAATTTTCCTATAATGAACGAAAATTAATAGACACGTTTTGTAAGGCCCATTAGTGAGAGCTTTACATAACGAAAAAGACATTTGGAGTCTTCACTTCTGCGTATAGTGATGCAAGCTAGCAAAGCAGGAAACGCCGATAGAAATGAGTTTGTATTGGAATTTGAGCAGATTTTTTTTTCAAGAAATTTTCTCAATTATATAGGAATTGTTCTCAGCATTTCTCCACATATTAGTTGTACTCAAAAATTATTTCTGCAGAAATTTCTTCGATTACAAAAATGAAAATTCTCTAACATTCATTTATAAGCACTTCTTTCTGTAAACAATTTAACGAAAACAGCCGCTGTTAAGTTAAGTCTCAAATTTTAGTCCATCATTACTACTTTATTCAGTATTTCTTATAATTGTTTTTTTTTTTTTCATTTCGAATTTTACACTTTTAGCTACGACTAAATTCAATCAAGAAGCTGTCTACAATTGCCTTGGCTCTGGGGGCTGATCGGACCAGGAGTGAGCTGATGCCCTTTCTCACAGAGACGATTTATGACGAAGATGAGGTTCTCTTGGCACTTGCTGAGCAATTGGGCTCATTTACGCCTCTGGTCGGAGGTCCTGAGCATGTTCACTGTCTTCTACCACCTCTTGAGACTCTGGCAGCAGTCGAGGAAACTGTCGTGAGAGACAAAGCTGTGGAGTCCTTGAGGAATATCGCTGGACAACACAATCCTTCATATTTGGAGGAGCATTTCGTACCTTTGGTACAGAGATTGGCTGCTGGGGACTGGTTCACATCAAGAACTTCGGCCTGTGGATTGATCAGCGTCTGTTATCCCCGGGTCAGTCCAGCGACGAAAGCAGAACTACGAAACCATTTTCGAAATCTCTGTCAAGATGACACTCCCATGGTTAGAAGATCCGCTGCTTCTAAGCTGGGGGAATTTGCCAAGGTCGTGGAGATCGAATATTTAAAATCGGATTTGATACCCATGTTTGTTATCCTGGCGCAAGACGAACAGGTAAGCTATGAAGTTGGATATGTTTATGGACGGGTTGGAAGGGAAAGAAATAGAAGATCATAAAATCATGTCAACAGATCCGAATTATTTTTGCACTACTTCACCTTTTTATGAAAGTTTAGACTCATACTGAACTCAATCATATTTGTAGCAAAGCTCAAAATTCAAGCGAATCCATCAACAAACAATCCGCGATGATTGTCAGGGCTTTTCTTCATTTCTTAGGCTCACGATCACCTTCCTCTCTTAAAAACCAAGATATGATGTCCTCATGCAAAAGTTGGCTCATCCAATTCTGTTCATTGTTGCTGCCAAAGGGAAACTTCGCAATCGCCCGATTTTGACATTTTGTAATTTTCATTGGAAATGATGTAGAATGGTTTGAAACACGTTAAAATACGAAGTTTGACCACAATGTTTGTCTGACCCCTCCCACCTTCCGCCCTTTCTCGAAAATTGAATTTTAGAAAATAGAACAGTAAGACCCAAAAAAAAAATCGAAACAATCTGCAATTTTCTCGTATCATGGATCCTAACAGAACTAACATTTTAAAGAAAAAGTAATTGCTTTTTCAAGTTTTTTGCAAATATTTGCAACAGTAGTAGGCTGATTTAACATTTTTATTTTTCAAAATATTCATCTCGATCTACTTTACCTCAATCAATCCAAATATGTATATTCGTTCTCGCTAAATTTTCGAAATATTCAAATTTTTCTGTTTTTTTTTCCAAAGAAAATTTGTTAACACGGTAATGGTGCGCAGAATTGATTCATCAATTTGATATTTGGCACAGAGTTGCCAGACGGCTTTTTTTTTTCACAATGTTTTTTTGATTTTTTACAGTCACACTTAATCCAGTGAAGTGAATCACGCGAAGAATTGACACTTGTCGAACCAACTAGTTGATATTTCGTTCAGAGCTTATTATGATCTACCCTACTCTGGAAAAATCAATAAAAATTTTTGACAAAATTCGCCGTCTGGTCACCCTGATTTGGCATTAAATTTCCTCTTGGTATCGAAATGTTTGGTATCGGCGAACGACAGAATCGGCTCATTAGTTTATTAGATATTTCATCTCTTCTGTTTTTTTAACAAAATTTTGTTAGCCCGCTAGTTTCGTAAAATTTCCGCACCAATTTGAAATTCAACATGAAGTTTACTCCTGGCAATTAACCATTTATGATTGAAAAATGACAATATTAGATCATTAACTTATGAAATATTCAAAATTACCTTTCTAAAATATTTTTAGTATCCAACCGATTTCAATTTTTCACATCTCCAAATATTCTGATTGATGTAATCTATCTCAATCAATCAAAATATTATACATATTACCTCTCGATACTGAATATACGAGATATTTCATTTTTTTTCTTGAAAAACAGTATGTCAATCAAGAACATTTCCAAGCTACAGATCTCATCATAAGAAATTCTCCAGAATTTTCAGCAAATTTCCTAATTTGAAACATCGGCAATGCAAAATTTGACATACAGCGATTTCAGCATGTGTTCTAGCCGTTGGGAAACATACCATCAATTTTTCGATGGTGATGAAAAATTGAAAAAATCAGTCAAGGATATGCTCCCTGTCACGTCCTCGCTGTCATATGCTTACAGCCTCCGCGTATTTTCGTATGTCGCATGGGAAAAATGATGGCATTTCACATGCATAGACAATAGACCATTGTAATTTTCGAATTCGGCAAATTTACCACCAACCTATACCATGGCCATATTAGCCGGTTACGTTCAGTAAATTAATATGTATTTCTTTGAACCTATGGGATTTTTTTCGCTTATGTGCAAATCTAGAAAGCTGATGATTGGAGATCGATGATTTTTCTTAGAGAGAGAAACAATGAGAGTAATACTTGATCTCATGGCATTCCGTCATCGTACATTTATTCAAGAAAATTAAATTTAATCAGACAACATCCAGATTGTAACTTTGATGATAAATTGTACTTGCTCCTGAATAATAGAAAAGAAGGAAAGAAAATCAAGTAACTGTCTTAGGCTTCGGAGAGAAAAATACGACGAAACTACCCTGACTTTTCTATAAAATTAATCAGGTATCCCACTAATTTTCTCATAACAGTCACTGAAAATCGTTGAACTACTCACAAATTTTGAGATCATCCATATAAAAATTAAACTGAAACAGATAGAAATTGATATACCGGTACGAGAAAAATTACCACCGTGACACGAAAAAAACTACCACGTAGCGTCTCAGAATTTGTGGTACCCAGGTAAAATCATTGAACTATACACACGTAAAAAGTGATAAACTGGCAGGAAAAAAATTGTGGCCTTCAATAGAAAATCTTTGTCATATTTGGAGGGGAAAAAGGTGTTAGGGCGTAACAATATTCTCTACAAACTTTATCAAACTACTGTTTTTTTTGTTGTTCCATGGGAGATAGCTGATTAATAATAAAGATTCATAATAATAAATCTTTGATTTTAGACAAACAAATAAAATTAAGGTCCGGGTGGACTATCTATCCAAGGCGATCTTTGGTTCAAATTTTATTTTGTTAGACTAAAATAGGGGAGACAGGGGCCAAACGGGCACCGTATGAAAATAATCGAGGAATGCCATTGTAGGGAACTGCGTAAAGCTGTTGTTGCTAATAAATTCTTACATCCTGAAATTATCGTAGAGTACACGGGAAAATTTTCAACTTAATGAAATGTTCATTTCATTAAGTTGCAGTAATACAATAAATCCCTGTTTTTATTTTTTATTCAGGAAAAGAATAACTCAAATTTTCAATTAACCGGACTTGATAACTTATTGACAATTTTTGTTTTTTACGGAAAACGAGAGAAAAAATATTTACAGCCAAGATATTAACTGCTGCAGCGCCCTTGGATTTTTACATGAGAAATTTTCATTTTTACGATGTGAAGTCACAAAATATCAAAGCAGCGAGTGATGTTTACAAATCGGGTATAATGAAATAAACAGAAGGCTCCATGTTTGCGTTTTTTTGTTTCATTGTTTCACTTCATTATCGAGTCATTATTTTCACGACGTGAAATTGTTCTTTATCGTGACGAATGCTCGCATATGTTTTTGACATTGTTTGGTTTTTTTTCGAACGGAATTTGCATTTTTAATATTCTATGATGGCACAATTCTCTGGAATTGACTTCATTTTTCCGTGTCCGTTTTGCACCCATGTCGCCTATATTATATTAGCAGTTGGCCATTTCTAACGGTAGAAGACATGATTGTTACTTCACATGTTATTTTTTATTTTTTTTTATTTTTCCATTAATTTCATTGACGGTTGGCTTTCGAATGGATATGAACAGGCATGGGCAAAGTCGGATCCTCGGGAGCCGGGGCCATAAAACCCTATTAGACCCATTATTATACAATACCCCAATTGCGTGGAGCCCAGCGTAGTCAGGGTGGGAGTAGCAGCGTGTACGAAGTGGGGCGCAGTTAGACAGAGAGAGCACCACGCGCTTTCCTTTCAAATTTT